TGCTAATTCTTTTCACTATGGTACATAGACTTTATGAATTTAAGTGCAGTACTAGATTGGTGGCAAGGTCTCATCATTTTTACAGTTGAAATGGCACGATGTAACCGTAAGTTCTATGCTAACAGTTTCTTCTCTAGCATAAGATTCACTTATTGGCGTCTCGGCATCAGTCACTTTCCTACCACCATAATGTAGCTTTCCTTTGCCTTTCCTTTAAATAATTTCATGCTAATTCTTTTTCACTATGGTACACATAGACTTTATGAATTTAAGTGCAGTACTAGATTGGTGGCAAGGTCTCATCATTTTACAGTTGAAATGGCTAGATGTAACCGTAAGTTCTATGCTAACAGTTTCTTCTCTTACATAAGATTCACTTATTGGCGTCTCGGCTTCAGTCCTTTCCCACCACCATAATGTAGCTTTCCTTTGCCTTTCCTTTTAAATAATTTCATGCTAATTCTTTTCACTATGGTACATAGACTTTATGAATTTAAGTGCAGTACTAGATTGGTGGCAAGGTCTCATCATTTTACAGTTGAAATGGCTAGATGTAACCGTAAGTTCTATGCTAACAGTTTCTTCTCTCACATAAGATTCACTTATTGGCGTCTCGGCTTCAGTCCTTTCCTACCACCATAATGTAGCTTTCCTTTGCCTTTCCTTTAAATAATTTCATGCTAATTCTTTTCACTATGGTACATAGACTTTATGAATTTAAGTGCAGTACTAGATTGGTGGCAACGTCTCATCATTTTACAGTCGAAATGGCTAGATGTAACCGTAAGTTCTATGCTAACAGTTTCTCCTCTCGCATAAGATTCACTTATTGGCGTCTCGGCTTCAGTCACTTTCCTACCACCATAATGTAGCTTTCCTTTGCCTTTCCTTTAAATAATTTCATGCTAATTCTTTTCACTATGGTACATAGACTTTATGAATTTAAGTGCAGTACTAGATTGGTGGCAAGGTCTCATCATTTTACAGTTGAAATGGCTAGATGTAACCGTAAGTTCTATGCTAACAGTTTCTTCTCTCACATAAGATTCACTTATTGGCGTCTCGGCTTCAGTCACTTTCCTACCACCATAATGTAGCTTTCCTTTGCCTTTCCTTTAAATAATTTCATGCTAATTCTTTTCACTATGGTACATAGACTTTATGAATTTAAGTGCAGTACTAGATTGGTGGCAAGGTCTCATCATTTTACAGTTGAAATGGCACGATGTAACCGTAAGTTCTATGCTAACAGTTTCTTCTCTCGCATAAGATTCACTTATTGGCGTCTCGGCATCAGTCACTTTCCTACCACCATAATGTAGCTTTCCTTTGCCTTTCCTTTAAATAATTTCATGCTAATTCTTCTTTTCACTATGGTACATAGACTTTATGAATTTAAGTGCAGTCCTAGATTGGTGGCAAGGTCTCATCATTTTACATTTGAAATGGCTAGATGTAACCGTAAGTTCTATGCTAACAGTTTCTTCTCTCACATAAGATTCACTTATTGGCGTCTCGGCTTCAGTCACTTTCCTACCACCATAATGTAGCTTTCCTTTGCCTTTCCTTTAAATAATTTCATGCTAATTCTTTTCACTATGGTACATAGACTTTATGAATTTAAGTGCAGTACTAGATTGGTGGCAAGGTCTCATCATTTTACAGTTGAAATGGCTAGATGTAACCGTAAGTTCTATGCTAACAGTTTCTTCTCTCACATAAGATTCACTTATTGGCGTCTCGGCTTCAGTCACTTTCCCACCACCATAATGTAGCTTTCCTTTGCCTTTCCTTTAAATAATTTCATGCTAATTCTTTTCACTATGGTACATAGACTTTATGAATTTAAGTGCAGTACTAGATTGGTGGCAAGGTCTCATCATTTTACAGTTGAAATGGCTAGATGTAACCGTAAGTTCTATGCTAACAGTTTCTTCTCTCACATAAGATTCACTTATTGGCGTCTCGGCTTCAGGTATCACTTTCCTACCACCATAATGTAGCTTTCCTTTGCCTTTCCTTTAAATAATTTCATGCTAATTCTTTTCACTATGGTACATAGACTTTATGAATTTAAGTGCAGTACTAGATTGGTGGCAACGTCTCATCATTTTACAGTCGAAATGGCTAGATGTAACCGTAAGTTCTATGCTAACAGTTTCTCCTCTCGCATAAGATTCACTTATTGGCGTCTCGGCTTCAGTCACTTTCCTACCACCATAATGTAGCTTTCCTTTGCCTTTCCTTTAAATAATTTCATGCTAATTCTTTTCACTATGGTACATAGACTTTATGAATTTAAGTGCAGTACTAGATTGGTGGCAAGGTCTCATCATTTTACAGTTGAAATGGCTAGATGTAACCGTAAGTTCTATGCTAACAGTTTCTTCTCTCACATAAGATTCACTTATTGGCGTCTCGGCTTCAGTCACTTTCCTACCACCATAATGTAGCTTTCCTTTGCCTTTCCTTTAAATAATTTCATGCTAATTCTTTTCACTATGGTACATAGACTTTATGAATTTAAGTGCAGTACTAGATTGGTGGCAAGGTCTCATCATTTTACAGTTGAAATGGCAGTTCGATGTAACCGTAAGTTCTATGCTAACAGTTTCTTCTCTCGCATAAGATTCACTTATTGGCGTCTCGGCATCAGTCTCATCATTTTCCTACCACCATAATGTAGCTTTCCTTTGCCTTTCCTTTAAATAATTTCATGCTAATTTTCTTCTTTTCACTATGGTACATAGACTTTATGAATTTAAGTGCAGTCCTAGATTGGTGGCAAGGTCTCATCATTTTACAGTTGAAATGGCTAGATGTAACCGTAAGTTCTATGCTAACAGTTTCTTCTCTCACATAAGATTCACTTATTGGCGTCTCGGCTTCAGTCCTTTCCTACCACCATAATGTAGCTTTCCTTTGCCTTTCCTTTAAATAATTTCATGCTAATTCTTTTCACTATGGTACATAGACTTTATGAATTTAAGTGCAGTACTAGATTGGTGGCAAGGTCTCATCATTTTACAGTTGAAATGGCACGATGTAACCGTAAGTTCTATGCTAACAGTTTCTTCTCTCGCATAAGATTCACTTATTGGCGTCTCGGCATCAGTCACTTTCCTACCACCATAATGTAGCTTTCCTTTGCCTTTCCTTTAAATAATTTCATGCTAATTCTTCTTTTCACTATGGTACATAGACTTTATGAATTTAAGTGCAGTCCTAGATTGGTGGCAAGGTGTCATCATTTTACAGTTGAAATGGCTAGATGTAACCGTAAGTTCTATGCTAACAGTTTCTTCTCTCACATAAGATTCACTTATTGGCGTCTCGGCTTCAGTCACTTTCCTACCACCATAATGTAGCTTTCCTTTGCCCTTTCCTTTAAATAATTTCATGCTAATTCTTTTCACTATGGTACATAGACTTTATGAATTTAAGTGCAGTACTAGATTGGTGGCAAGGTCTCATCATTTTACAGTTGAAATGGCTAGATGTAACCGTAAGTTCTATGCTAACAGTTTCTTCTCTCGCATAAGATTCACTTATTGGCGTCTCGGCTTCAGTCCTTTCCTACCACCATAATGTAGCTTTCCTTTGCCTTTCCTTTAAATAATTTCATGCTAATTCTTCTTTTCACTATGGTACATAGACTTTATGAATTTAAGTGCAGTACTAGATTGGTGGCAAGGTCTCATCATTTTACAGTTGAAATGGCTAGATGTAACCGTAAGTTCTATGCTAACAGTTTCTTCTCTCGCATAAGATTCACTTATTGGCGTCTCGGCTTCAGTCACTTTCCTACCACCATAATGTAGCTTTCCTTTGCCTTTCCTTTAAATAATTTCATGCTAATTCTTTTCACTATGGTACATAGACTTTATGAATTTAAGTGCAGTACTAGATTGGTGGCAAGGTCTCATCATTTTACAGTTGAAATGGCTAGATGTAACCGTAAGTTCTATGCTAACAGTTTCTTCTCTCACATAAGATTCACTTATTGGCGACTCGGCTTCAGTCACTTTCCTACTACCATAATGTAGATTTCCTGTGATTTTTAATCAACATGTAGAGAGAATCATAGAGAGATTCTAATTTGAAGCAGAGTATAACAATGGACAGCACTTTTTCTAATGTTACAGGTTTCACCCAAGTGGCTTTAAGACAGAGTGTATAATTTATATAAGACAATACTTCACATTTTAAGAAGATGAATATTGCCCACCTTGCCAAAACGATATTAATAATAGCAAAATAACTGAATAGCACGCAGCCTGTCTCGATTATCCATCATTAATATATATATATATATATATATATATATATATATATATATATATATATATATATATATAAATGTGAGAAAGAACAAATGGAGTAACATTCCACTGTTCGTAGCATTTACTTTTAAAAATCTTTAAATTTCGGAAAAGAGATAAAATTTGTTTTTAAATTTCCTTAAAAATCATTTAATCATTTACTTAGCATCGCCTGATGAAGTACAATCAAATCATTGAAACATGAAAGATTTTGTGTAGTGATTTCAACATGATTTTATTATAATCTCTTATAATATATATATATATATATATATATATATATATATATATATATATATATATATATATATATATGAGAATCGAAACAAAAAGAATATCTCTTGGGAGGAAAAATATCCTTATTTGAAAGGGCGATGAAAGTTATAGAATATCAAGTAGCCCATATTATCATGTAAAATAAAATAGTAATTTATTTAAGTATTTGAAGTATTGCGTTAATCAAATATGATTTTATGGCCAATATATATTTAGATTTATTTAGAAATAAAAGTTCTCTAAAACAAGTTCTCATCACTATTTTCAATATTCTAAGCCGAAACTCACATGATATATATGACTCATATAAGTATATGTCAATTCTGAAAGTTTTCCCATAGCCAGTTGGTTAACATCATTTGTATTAAGAAAATATTGCCTTGCGTATAATCTGCTGGTGAGTATTTCCCCCTTTCTGTTATTTTCTATTTGATTTCTTTTTTCCTTTTTTATTTACTTATTATTTTCATTTCTTCTTCTTTTCTTTCTTCCTTCTCCCTTCCTCCCTTCCTTTCTCTATTCCTCCCTTCTTTCTTCATTTCTTTCCTTCCTTAGACTTTTCTTTCTTTCCTCTTTTGCTGCCTCTTCCTTTCTTTCTTACTTGTTTCTTTTTTCCTTTCTTTTTTCACGCTTCTTATCCTTCCTTGCACCTTTTCATTTCTTCATTCCTTCCTTTTTTCTTCATCTCTCCTTCCCTCCTTTTTTCTTTCCTTCCTCTGCCTTTCTTCTTATTTTATTTTCTTCTTTCCTCTCTTGCTTCCTCTTTTTCCTTTCTTTCTTTCTTCACCGTTCTTATCCTTCCTTCATTTTTTTACTTTCTTCATTTCTTCCTTATTACTTTTTCCTTCTTTCCTTCCTCTTTTCCTCTTCTCCTTCCTTCCTTCCTTCCTTCCTTCCTTCCTTCCTTCCTTCTCTCCTTCCTTCCTTCATTCCTTCCTTCATTCCATCCTTCCTTCTCTCCTTCCTTCCAATTTTAATTTCTAATTCCAACAAGACATTGCAAACATGCCTATTTTCATAACGGAATTTTAGAAATAGAATAAAAAGATACTTTTGCCTTTCTCTAAGCATTTGTAACAACAAAAAATAATGAAAAAGAATTTTGTTTATTTGCTTCATTTTCTAAGACGCCAAAAACTGTTAAACCCATTTCAAACGCAAGAGGAATATTGGGCTACTTGATTTAACGAAATGTCAACACTTATTATCACGTACTCAGTGGTTGAAGTAAGAGTATGTGGTTCTACAGGAGGATACTGAGAATCCTGGTATGAACATGTAAACAACGACGAAGTTTTAGAGAAAATGAAAACAAAATGACGCATACTTAACATCAGCAAGAAATAGTTGAATTTTCTAGGACAAATAGTGAGGAAAGAGGTCTTGGAAAATTTGACACCCACAGAACACGTTGAAGGTAAGAGGTACAGAGGCAAGCAATGCGTAAATTACCTAACAACTTTGAGTAAATGGATGGCAGATGTTAGGGTTTAGGAAAAAGAACGAAAAGAAAAAAATATTAATAGCTACAAATGACAGGAAAATGTGGAGAGCCATGATCACCAACGTCCTGAAAGGACTCGAGAAGAAGAAAAAAAAGAAGGAAAGACTAATCTCTCTGAAAATAGAATTTTTCGTGATTTTTTTTATTAATTTTCATCAGTTACAAGGCTCGAAAGACATTCAAGGTAGATGCTACAGTTAAAACGATAGTGGTGAATGAGGTGTGAGAAGTGAATGTAAGAGAAAGTGGCAGGAATTGGAAATTGTGAGGATAAAGATGATAGATGACCTCTGACTTAATATCCAGACCAGGCTTTTCGGAGAAGCACTCTCGAAGCGAGTGTCTGTTCTACGATATGTCAGTTCTAGGAAAAATCATTCCAACTAGAACTCCCTTCCTGTACTTGAAATACGGAGGAAACGAGGTTGATTCAACTCTGTAGAAGTATCAGGCCATGTCCTAGCTGTAAAAGTCTGAACGGGTGGAACTAAAGAATGAAGAGCTCATGTGAACATTTGCCATTGAAGTGGCGATAGTGCACAGAGTCATCCACCACAAGAATGCAGAAACAATTTTGAACTCTATGAAGACCGCAGGTTGAAAATTAAGAAGCTCCTGTCCAGGTATATTCCATTTTTTGGTCTAGTCTGAATTTTGTAAAGATAAAAACTGACAGAAGTCAGATACTTCCTGGGGTGATATGGTGGGCCGGCCATCCTAACATCTTCTTTACGAACGGAATGCGCAAATATTTTGGATTTGATGGTGGTGTAATGGAATAGCGACACGGAATAAAAAGTTGGAGAAACGAGTTCGAATTCCAGCCAAGTTTGTTACATTAATTTACGTGCAAATATCCTTGGAAAAGGTATGGATCCACCTCCACGCACCTGTAGGTTAACTACTAGGGAGGCGAAGAAAAAGAAACAATTCCTTCTCGTTCCATGGGGAGTATAGTATCGCATTGCTGTTAAATATTTCGATCACCCACTGAGTACCCCATAATAAGTGTTGACATGTCGTTCAATCAAATAACTCAATATTCCTCTTTCGTTTGAAATGAGTTTAACAGTTTTTGGCGTCTTAGAAAATGAAGCAAGTGAACAAAATTCTTTTTCATTTTTTCTTTTTTGTTACTAATGCTTAGAGAAAGGCAAAAGTATCTTTTTGTTCTGTTACTAAATTTTCGCTATGAAAATAGGCACGTTTGCAATGTCTTGTTTGAATTAGAAGTTAAAATTGGAAGGAAGGAGAGAAGGAAGGAAAGAAAGAAATAATGTAATAAGGAAGGAATGAAGAAAGGAAAAAATGAAAGGAGGATAAGAAAGAAAGAAAGAAAGAAAGAAAGAAAGAAAGAAAGAAAGAAAGAAAGAAAGAAAGGAAAAAGAGGGGGATAAGAAAGGAAAAAGAGGGAGGATAAGAAGGGTGAAGGAAGAAGGGAAAAGAGAAACAAGTAAGAAAGAAAGGAAAAGAGGCAGCAAAAGAGGAAAGAAAGAAAAGTCTAAGGAATGAAAGAAATGAAGAAGGGAGGAATAGAGAAAGGAAGGGAGGAAGAAGAAAGGAAAAGAAGAAGAAAGGAAAATAAAAAGTAAATAAGAAAGAAAAAAAGAAATCAGAAATAAAATAACAGAAAGAGAGGAATTAAATACTCAGTGGCAGATGATATGCAAGGCAATATTTTCACAATACAAAATGGTTTTGGTAAAACTTAGAATTTACATATACTTATATGAGCCATATATATCATGTGAGTGGTGTAATGGTTAGCAAACTTGTCTCTCAATGATTAGTGAGTTCGATCCTCACTGGGGGCCTACTACTTTCGAGTTTGTGCCACATCTAAGATGCACTTGGAAAATCGCTATATCATGTGAGTTTCGACTTATAATAGTGATGAGAACTTGTTTTAGCGGTGACAGATTTTATTAAGAAATGTGAGACCATCTCTTATTTCTAAATAAATCCAAATATATATTTGATTAACATATTACTCCAAATACTTAAATAAATTACTATTTTATTTTACATGATAATATGGGCTACTTGATATTCTATAACTTTTATCGCCCTTTAAATAAGGATATTGTTTTTTTCCTCCCAAGAGATATTCCTTGCGTGAGTATTATTTTCCATTCTCATATATATATATATATATATATATATATATATATATATATTATTATTATTATTATTATTATGATTATAAGAGATTATAATAAAATCATGTCGAAATCGCTACACAAAATCTTTCATGTTTCAGTACTATGATTGTACTTCATCAGGCGATGGTACGTAACCGATTTAATGGTTTTTAAGAAAATTTAAAAACAAAGTGTTATCTCTTTTTCGAAAGTTAAAGATTTTACAATAAATGCTACGAACAGTGGAATGTTAATCCATCTGTTCTTTGTCTCATATATATATATATATATATTAATGATCGATATAATCTAGAGAGGCTGCGTGTTACTCAGTTATTTTGCTATTATTTACATCGTTTTGGCAAGGTGGCCAAAATTCATCTTCGTAAAATTTGAAGAAGTATTGTCTTATATAAATTATACTCTCTGTCTTAAAGCCACTTGGGTGAAACCTGTATCATTAGAAAATGTGCTGTCCATTGTTATACTCTGCTTCAAATTAGAATCTCTCTATGATTCTCTCTACATGTTGGCCGGGAGTGAACGCTAAGAAAGCAAAATTAAAAATTACTCTCTGCGCAGGAACTCCGAGCATCACATCCGGTTCACAAAACAAATCCGATCAAGAAAATATAAACCAATATAAGAGGAGCCAATCACGAACGTTGCCGCCAAAGAAAAAAGATGAGTCATGATCCCCTTATCTTCTTTGAAGAACGTCGACGACGACACTGTAGGAAATTCGCGTCGAACGACCAAGCTGTCAATGTCACCACCAGTGACTTCGACCAACCGGCCCAACATACGCAGGGGACTACTAACTCTACCCTTCGTCCAAATCTCTTTCCTTTCCCACAAAGAGAAACCCGCTCACATCCTCTGTATCGGCAGTACAAAGAATTTTATATTAACAGTTATTTTCTTTTCGCCTCACCCGCGGTACTTGTTTCGTCTCTTCTTTCGTGCTACCATACATGCATTCTGTATTTATCCTGAAACCAGCATTAATTTTAATGTAGGCTATAAATTTATTACATGAAATACAAGACCAAAAACATTACCTCACTCTCACTGCTGTCTTCCAAGTTAAGATGGTGCAACCTCGAGCACGTTCGTTTAATGTAGCTCTACATTCATCATTAAAAGATTTTATTAGGAAATCAGTTTGTATTTATTTATTTGGCAAACTTACACGTTTCTTTTTGTGATATTTACTTAATGGTGTTTGTTTGGTTGTTTTCATGTCTTCAGCTAATGTTCTTACTATTCTGCATCTTTTCTGTGAGGAAAGAAGTTACGAAGTGTAATTTCCTTCGCATTTTCTCAGTCCAACGGTAGTCGTTAATCAACGACGCAACGAAATGTGATATCAGGTCGAGTTTAATGTGGGTTTATCGGCAGCATCGGGTTAAAAAATCTCAAAGTCGTCTCGGCACTTCCCTTTTGGGGGGCGCCTCAGAAGCCGGACAATAAATCCAACACCCTTCAGAAGTTGATAGATACTGACTGGTGGGTGGATGTGTCTGGGACTTGAGCAAATATTATTGGCAGAAGAAGCAATTCCTCTGTCGGCCAGAATACAATTCTTGCGTATCTTATTCTGCTTCTCCTATGACCTCTATGCCTTTTTCTTCTTTATTTAACGTGCAGCTTCAGGATGTTGGCGATCATGGCTCTCCACTATTTCCTGTCTTTGCAGCTCTTAATAAATTTTGTGTTTTTGTTATTTCTCCTAAACCTTGTTCCGCCATCCATTTACTCAAGCTCACTAAGCAAGTTATGCTTTGTTTTCTTCTATCCGTTTTGCCTTCAGTTTGTCCTGTGAGTATCATATTTTCTTTAATATGTAGCCTAGAAATTTCAACTATCTTTTGATGTTAACTCTAAGTGTCTTTTTTGTTTCAATTTTCTCTAAAACTTCACATATTCGGTCCATGGTATCCTCAGCATCCTTCTCTAGAACCATGATGCTAATTAGACAGAAATACATTACATAATTTTACATAATAGTTATGGTTGAGCTCACTGTAAAAAGAGATATGTTGTATTGTCCTGGGCGTACATTTACCCGAGAGGATTCCAAAATTAATGCACTTTCAATATATTTTTGCAAAATAAATTAGTTTATCTTTTCCTCAACACTGTATTCCTTAATTTGAAAATATGGTCAGACTTAATTGGCAAACGTTTAACGCATTGAGTTTTTTTTTTCCTTTGAAAATGATCCTTTTATGTTCATATAATATTTCCTTTAAATTCCTTGATGTTTCACCTATGTATTTTTGGGGGCATTTATTTTAAATTTCTGCTTCACGTTTAATGCTTCTTTTTT